AAAAAAAAAGAAAAAGAGATCAATTAGATTTCATCAAGATTAAAAGCCCGTTCACCATTCATCGTTTCTCGTACTGTGGTGGTTTGTGTGTTGCTGTGATTCTGGAGTTAGGTCATTGGTCTTTCAATGGGGTCACCTGTGGTGAACTGGTTTCAGCTGAAGCTCTAGAAAAAGCGCAGACCAGTTGTTGTAAGGCACTGAACAGCAGATGGGGAGCTGTGCCTGTTGTCTGCTACGGTGCCAGAGCAGGAAGGTGAGCCCCTTGGGTTGGAAGATCGGCTGAGGGAAGAGCTGCCTTCTCAAAGTGGAGCTGATATAAAGAAACTGCTACAAAGATCCACTAATAATAGGAATGTGGAGGAGATGAAGTATGGATCTAGGAAAAGTAGGAGTTGTCAAAAGGGGAATGGACAACTAAGGATGGATATCGAGGCAGAAGTGGGCTGATGCCAGTCTGGTGGCTCTGTGGGTTCTAAGTCGAGCCGCCAACCACAAGAGCAGCAGTTTGAAAATCACCGCTGACTACTCTCAATAGATAAACAAACTGGTATACACATTCAATGAAATATTATTCAGCCCTGAAGAGAAACAGAAAACCTGATTCACACTATAAGATACACGAACCTGGAAACACTGTACTGATGTAAAATAACTCAAACACAAAAGAACAAATAGTGTATAAAAAAAAAAGAACAAATAGTGTATGATCTCACTTACATGAAATAGCTCTAATAGGCCTATAGAAAGAATAATAGTAGCTATCAGGCACTAAAGGGGCAGAGGACCAGGTAGTTAATGCTTAATGGGTATCAGTTTCTGTATGGAGTAGCGAAAAAGTTTTGGAAATAGTATTATGGTATAATACATATCTATATTTTTGAATAATATTAAAGAATAATAAAATTGCAATGACTATCACTTAAAGGAAGTTAAAATGGCAAGTTGTTATATATGTATTTTTACCACAAAAGTTTTTTTCTTTTAAAAACAGTGAAAACACAGAAAACATCAACCGTCAGAGAGCTCCTCCTGTGCTGTGGTACTATGTGGAGGCAGCCTCTAGAGCTGACATACATAAAATAAATAGATATCAGAGAAAGAGTATTCCCATATATATTTTCAAGCCAAAGGGGCTGTTTCTCATTATGAGAGCATTCGATGGGGAAATGTAAAAGGAAGCTCAAGGGGAAAAAAATAAAGATTGAAGGAAAAAAAAAAAGACAACCGTTCCAACAGCACCTGCGACGACACGGGACTCTTTTAAGATGCAGATTCTCTTTCAGTGGTCTGGAGTTGGGCCTGCAATTCTGCATTTTGAACAAACTCCCAGGTGTTACAATGATGCCAGTCCAGTGAGGGCACGTTGAGTCTAAGATTATGCTGGTCCTACTGTAATAACTGTGCCAGTGGCACTGTGGATTAGGCGTTGGGCTGCCAATCTCACTGTTGGTGGTGCAAACCCAGAAACTGCCCTGCGGGAGAAAGCAGCAGCAGAAGATTTACAGGCTCCGAACCCTACAGAGGGTTTTCTATGAGGCAGAGCCAGCTCAGTTCTGGGGGTTAGGCCTACAGCTCCAAACTAATCTGCTGTCCATTCACGATTTGTACAAACGAGAAAGAGAACACAGGCAAGGCAAAGCTTCTTTTCTACCTTCTATTTTCAGTCTTTCGGCTAGTTCTCTACATTCGGTGTACTTCTTCAAGGGCTCTGGAACAGCCTGCGCCAGTAACTCCATATCAACTTCCTCATATTTCAAAACATCTAGAGCTCTGAAAATAAAAAGAAGTTTCAGAAACCGAAGGGTCCATAACATAAAAAGAAGATTAAGAACAAAATTCCTTACAAGTAGTGCCACATTTCAAGGTACGTAACATCAAGAGATACTCCCGAGTCCTTTTCAGCTGTTGCTATAGCTGTTAGGCGCCATCAAATCCATTCCGCCCCCCAGCACCTGGCACAACAGAAGGAAACACTGCACAGCCCTGCGCCACCTTAACATTGTTCCTATGCCTGAGCCCACTGCTGCAGCCATGGTGTCAGTTCATCTCACTGAGGTCTTTTAAGTGCAGTGACCAAATGTAGTGGCACCTGCAACACAAGACTTCAGTAAGATGACTCTCCCAAGTTCCCTGCCCATATCATTAGCGGTAAATGGTTAGTATAGGTGTGAGGGGTATAATCCATGTGTATTCCTAGTCTTCTCAGGACAGAATATCCTCTAATAGCAAGAATAAGGGATATGCTTCCGGTCCTTTTGCATGCTGGGAATTAGTTGAAGAGATCTCGTGCTTTGATGAACTCCCAATGCAAGAATAAAGGATCATTGTTTTAAGTTTCTAGAAAACAAACCTTTCTTTCCTCTCCCATAAAAACCTTCGATGCATGGTAAAAGCCATACCAAATCCATTGACATCAAGCTCCAACTCATGGTGACCCTGAAGGACACAGAACTATCTCATAGGGTTTCCAACGTTGTAAATATTTTCGGAAGCTGACTGCCACCTTTCCCCCAGAGAAGCAGTTGGAGGGTTTGAACCACTGACCTTCCATATAATAGGCTCAGTGCTTAATCATTATACAACCAGAACTCCTTCCATTCACGTTACTCATATCCAATACAAATATCAATACTATAAAATAGAAATAGTACAATATTTGAGAACACAAAATATGAATGAAATGTTCTGATCTGAGTATCTACTAAGTTAACTTTTTACTATAAAAAGGTGTTCATATTCTATAACTGCAGTGGCTAGTGTTTTGGCAAAGCTCTATAAAAATGAAAACTTAGGGTGGGAGGGGGGAGGGAACACTAGAACTGATTACACATCTCATATGGAAGGCCATAGAACCATGGGGGAAGGGAGATGCTCTAAGATGGATGTGGCGGTGATTGTACAAGTTCCCTTGAGAGGACTGAGCGATTCAATACTCAACTGTTTGGTATGTACATTATGCACCAATAAAACTGTTGGGAAACAAAACGGAAACTTGGGAACAGAAGCTGGAAAAGATAAAATCATGATGAAAGCCAACAAGGCTGCTAGTTAAGGATCAAGATTAGAGAACACAAAGAGCAACAGCAGAATGGGTATAACTTGAAGTTCACAAGAACAATCACAAGGCTATGATGAAGGTTAAAAAATAAAGTAAAAAAATACTGGAGACACAGGTTTAAGATCAAGGTCAAAGTCATAGTAATGTGGCTCTAAGCTACAATGATTGTAAATGTACACCCTCTGAGCTCAACCATCAAACCCTAGCTAGTTTACATTTTTCAAATGGGAAAAATCATTGGTAAAATTATACAGATTGTGGATTATGCAAGGTTCTTAGGGAGGTATCGCTGGAGGAAAACAAAAATGCTCAGTATCAATAACCTTTAGACTGAGAATTATAAAACTGGAGTGAAAAACACAGGACCAAAAATCAAAATGCTGAAGAGGGCTCTTTGAGTCAAGCCGATGACTTGACTTAGCTGAGTTTGAGCAGAGGTTTCTTTGCTATAGCTCCAACAAGATGAAACCATTCCAATTACATATGTCTGGAAAAAAGGTACATTACTAAACTTCTTGGTTTATACCCTGCCCTGTAAATATTAGAAAATTCAGAAGAACTCAATGGGAGCCAGAGAGTAATTATAATCCCTATTTTCTAGGCAACTTTTATTCCAGAGAAAATAAAAGTCCTGTGATGCGTTCCAATCAGGAGTCTGAGATTTCACTATCAGGACAAGCGGCAAGCACACGCTGCGGAGGGCTGCTGGGTTCCAGCTCAGAGGAACCTCCTGTACAGCAGCACAGGCCGGGCCAGCCTCAACAGGTGGTTGTTTGGACTCACTGTTGCAGCCACCTGCTCATCGCGCTTGTTGAGCATTGTCTTCTTTTTCACATTACCAAGCATGTCCTTTTCCAGGGCCTGGTTTCCCCTGATAACCGGACTCCCATCAGTGAGGCAGGTCTCATTGCCCTCCCTCCCTTCTCAGGAGCATTCTGGCTGTCCTTTTCCAAGGCAGAGTAGGTCCCTTCTCAGGCAGTCCTTGTCTTTTCAATCAACTTTGCTAACACCAATTCGTGGATTCTTCCAGTCTTTCTTAGTCAAGGTCAAACTTTCATATGCATAGGAGTTGATTGAAAATACCACGGCCTGGCCACCTCTGCCCTCAAAGTGACATCCCTGCTCAACACTTTTAAGAGGTTTTCTGCAACAGATTTGCCCAACACATTTGATTTCTTGACCGTGATTTCCACAGGCATTGATTTGCAAACCTAAGGAAAATAAAATCCCTGACAGCTTCAATCTCTTCAATCATAATGTTGTTTAGTGGCCCAGTGGTGCAGAATTTTGCTTTCTTTACATTGAGTTGTAATCCAAACCAAAGGCTTGGTCATTGATATTCATCAAATCTGCCTTGCTTTTAGCCAGAGGGTTGTGTCATCTCATTATTGCACGTTGTTAATAAGCCTTCCTCCAATCCTGATGCCGAGTTGTTTTTCAAATAGTCTATCTTCTTGGACTATTTGCTCAATATACAGATTGAAGGCGTATGGTAAAAAGATGTAACTCTTGATACACAACATCTCTGATCAAGCAGCATTCCCTTGTTCCGTTAGAATAACAACCTCTTGGTCCAGGTATAGGTTCTGCATGAACACAATGAAGTGTTCTGGGTTCCCATTCTTTTCAATGTTATCTATGTTATGATCCACACACTCGGATGCCTCTGCACGGTCAAGGAAACCCAAGCAAACATCTTTCTGGCATTCTCTGCTTAGAACCAAGACCTATCTGACATCAACCATGATAGCCTCATCTGAACCTGGCTTGAATTTCTGGCAGCTCCTTGTCAATGTACTGCTGCAACCATTTTTGAACTATTTTCAGGAAAATGTTACTTGTGTGTGATATTAACGATAGTGTTCAAAATATTTCCACATTTCACATTAAGACAACTCCTTAGATATTTTCTTGTTAAAATAGACTTTCTTTTTTGGAATGGGCACAAATATGGATATTTTCCAGTCAGATGGCTAGGTAGCTAGCTGTCTTCCACATGCCTAGCACAAAGCAGTGACTGCTTCCAAGGCTCATTAGCCTGTTGAAATATTTCAGTTGATAGCCTCAACTCCCAGGGCTTTGTCGTTTGCTACTGTCTTCAGTGCAACTTGACTTCTCCCTTCAGCACTGGTTCTTTATCATAAGCTTCCTCTTGAAATGGTTGAATGTTGAGGACCGCTAGTCTCAAAGAGAGACTGTGAAAGCACAGGTGTCTTCTACAGCACTGATGAGTCATTTTACTTTCCCTACCCTTTAGTATTTTGTAGCTTCTTCAAACCCTCCCCACGTGAGACTACATTACCCCCTCCATCAGGTAAGCACCACAAAGTTGGAGGTTCAAACCCATGAGACTCTCTCCCACAAAGAATTCGATCTTCGGAATCATATGGTGGGTTGCTACGAGTCCAAACAGATTCTATGGCAGTGGGTTTGTTTTGTTTGGGATTTTCCACAATGTAGCTCTTTAAGATAAAATAAAATGTACCTAAAAAGTATTTTGATACAAAAATAATTGCATCCTCAAAGATGGATTCTACTTATTTTAGAATTATTAATGCTAAAAGTTAAATGGTAAAATTGAAAATTATGTATTTTTTCACCATAACAATTAAAAAAATTGTGACAATTCCTTAGGAATGTTCTTGTTAAAATCAACTTAAATTGTTAAGCATATCCATTTAAGGTAAATTGCAACCCCACCCCACCAGGGGGAGGAACAAGAGAGATGTGGGTGAAAGGAGACAACGATGGTGTAATACATGAAAATAATAATAATTTATAATTTATCAGGGGTCCTGGAGGATAGGAGGTGGGGGAGGGAGGGAAAAAAGAGGAACTGATACCAAAGGCTCAAGCAGAAAGAAAATGTTTTGAAAATGATGATGGCAACATATGTACAAATATGTTTGATACAATTGCTGTATGAAAAAATACTAATTTATAAATTATCAAGGGTGTGGGAGGGAGGGTAAAAAAAATGAGGAGCTGATACCAAGGGCTCAAGTAGAAAGAAAATGTTTTGAAAAAGAACATATCAGCCTGTGTGATCACGAGGTGTCAAACAGATCACTGAAGACAAATTGGTGTATAAGCAAATGTGGCGAAGAAAGCTGATGGTGCCCGGCTATCAAAGAGTATAGTGTCTGGGGTCTTAAAGGCTTGAAGGTAATCAAGCGGCCATCAAGCTCAGAAGCAACAAAGCCCACAAGGAAGAAGCACACCAGCCTATGCAATCACAAGGTGTCGAAGGGATCAGGTATAAGGCATCATCAGAACAAAAAAATCTTACCATAGTGAATGATGGGGGGAGTGTGGAGTGGAGACCCAAAGCCCATTAGTAGGCCACTGGAGATCCCCTTGCAGAGGGTTCTCGGGGAGGAGATGAGCCAGTCAGGGTGCAATGTAACAACGATGAAAAATACAACTTTCCTCTAGTTCCTAAATGTTTCCTGCCCGCTCCCACTACCATGACTTGAATTCGACCTTGCAAGTCTGGCTAGACCAGAGGATGTACACTGGAACAGATAGGAAATGAAAATACAGGGAATTCAGGCAGATGAGCCCTACAGGACCAGTGGTGTGAGTGGCGAAACAGGGAGGGTAGAGGGAGAGTGGGTAGGAAAGAGGGAACCGATTACAAGGAACTATTTGTGACCTCCTCCCTGGGGGATGGACAACAGAAAAGTGGGTGAAGGGAGACGTCGGACAGGGCAAGATATGATAAAATAACAATTTATAAATTATCAAGGGCTCATGAGGGAGGTGGGGAGCGGGGAGAGAGGGGAAAAATGAGGACCTAATGCTGGGGGCTTAAGTGGAGAGGAAATGTTTTGAGAATGATGAGGGCAATGAATGTACAAATGCGCTTTACACAATTGATGTGTGTATGGATTGTGATAAGAGTTGTATGAGCCCCTAATAAAATGATTAAAAAACAAAACAAAACAAATGATGATGGCAACAAATGTACAAATGTGCTTGACACAATGGATGGATCGGTGGATGTATTTTGAAAAGAGCTTTATGAGCCCCCAATAAAATAATTGAAGAAAAAAAAGATGATGGCAACATAAGAATTTTAAGAGCCCCCAATAAAATGGATATCTTAATTAAAAAAAAAATACATGGCAAAATCCTTAACATGGCCTGTAATCCAATACGACTTTACTTCTTCTTTTCCAGATTTGTAAAGACTGTCCTTTCTGCTTGGAATGGTTTTCCTTTCACTTTTTGACAGATTAATCCAATTTACTGTTTGCAGGTCTCATCTTAAATGATCAGTGTTAAATGTCACTAAACTATGTAGTTGACATAAAGTTTACCTTGAGTGTTCACTAGTAACTTGAAGGGGGCAAGACGGGACTTCTTAGTTGCTGGGGCTGTTCTGTTACTTGAGGTGAGCGCCAAAATATTTATATGTCAAAATCCATTGCGGTATCCACACGACTAGTCTACTGTTCTCTATGGATTCAGAAAACTTTCTACTTCGCAAAGCCACTTCCTCTGAATTCTCCCTCACACCCTAACAATCCTCCTCCCCACCCAGTTATGCTCACAGAGCCCTCCACTTTCCTTCTGCTGCCATCAACAAACATGTACGTACTTGTAAGGCCGAGATCCTTCATGAGGGCAGGACTGTGCAGTTTTATACCACACTATATCCCAATACCAAACACACTGGTAGTGCCCTGCAGGCACCCAAAACACCTGCTAAATTTTTTTTTTTTTACATCTGCTAAATTAATCAATTCAGCATTCTCTAAGAAAGGTGAATACTGCATCTCTCAATCTAATTTATGTAAAGGAAAAAATTAATTTGGGGGGTATTATTTCACAACCCGTTACTGAAGTTTCTCACTGAGAACTCAGTTTAAGATGAAGCATTTACATGCCCCCAGAGAGAGGCACTATCCCTTTGAGGGTAAGTATTTCATTTATAAACAGATCCAGCATTGAATGCCCGGTTTCCCTTTGAAATGCCATTGCTAAACTTTTAGCTAGAACATGAGAAAATCAAAATTTATAAGCCCTGCACTTCTGCAACATAGCTATTATAATATTTGATTATTCAAATGACCTAACACAAGAAAAGTGTAACACTCTTCTAAAGTAATCTAACATCAACAGAACTTCCGTCCGTTATGAAGAATCAGCATAATTTTATCAGAGAATAACACATTTTACTTTGATATTTGAGTGCCAAGAACTTCAAAGATACATTCACTGTTCAACTAATTGCTTCATTTCTAAAACCTAATCATTTCCTTTTTGCGTTTTTTTTT